GGCGGCTTATATTGACCCTCCTTCGACAGCCCCAAGTGAACAACCTCCATCCGGCACATTGCCAATTTCTTTATTCACGACTCTATTTACACCTCCTCCCATCTCACATCCCCCTCTTTTTACACGCAGTAGACGTCATGTCCATTTCCCTGACCTTTAACAACTTGTATCATGTGCTTAACACTGACACCTCCGTTCTCCTGGCAATAGGGGTATTTTAGTGACACTGAACTGCGTTTTGAGTTAACTGTTTTCATAACACTCTCATTTGTCTGAAAGGCTGGGGAACCAGACTTGAAAACTCACACAATAAACAGTATCCTTCCTTAAAGGACTTTACCGCTAATAATTGTTTTCACTTGGAATACCAAAATTTTTATTAAATTGCAGAATTTTCTACAGGAAACGGAACTCACCTAACTTCTCTGGATCCACACCAACGAATGCGGTGAATTTTGAAATGACGTTGGCACTGGTTGACAATGCGACTATTTGTTTCTGGACGCGCGCGACCTCCGTCTTCTCCTGTTCCTTGTCTTTCAGTGTCTCAACAAGCGATGCATGCTTGTCAGCCAGCTCCAGAATCTGCACCTTTGCTGCCTGTCGGTGAAAGGGGAGACTGGGCTCGCCAAACTCCTCCTGGCGCGACACCTCGGCCTCGGCAACATTAGCCGAGTCGGTGTATTTTTGGCCATTTACATTGTATTTCAGGGTAACGGTGCCAGCCAGTTTAAGTTTATTTGCTGCAATGCCAAGAGATTAGAGCAATTGGGTACTAAATGGCGTGTCAAGAGAAAAATGAATTATTTCTCCCAACAAGCAACTAAGGTGTGTGAAGAAAAACACACTTGTATTTGCGTGCAGATCAGAATACCCTCAACAATTGTTCACAAAACAAACCCTACCACTGTATATTATCTCGTCTTACTGCCATCTGTATATTAAGCCTTCTGCTCGCAAACTTATATTCGAATAAACAAAACAGATTACTACACAATCTATTTCTCAAAGAAATTGGATCAAAGAGGCTCCTACAACGACGGAATATTGTGAATATCTCAGAAATTTGTGTGAGAGTTAATTTTAACACACAAAGGCGTAGGAAAAACTAAGAAGGCAGACTCACTTAATTTACATTATATCTTACCGCTTTGATAGCAGGATTGGAGCAAATTGGTACATAATCACAAATTTTCTCAAACATGACTAATCACAGCCAGTGGACGATAGCCATAACCGGGAGGTATAGAAAACGACTACGGTTGTGACATAAATCCAGTATGCTCGTAATTTATGCAAGACTCACGATTTTTAATCAGTCCGACGACAGTTGCATAACTGCCTGAATATAAGTTCGGGAGTTGGTCAGGAATGGTAATTACAGGAATGGCATCCCCTTTAGCGTCTCCGGTAATTGACCAAGTCAATTCAACGTCAGTTGCCAACGATTGCAGGGCCAGTTGCAGTATTTGCAGAACAACAGGCTGAAGACGTTCTCTATTTAAGGTGGAGCAAAGAAGTTACGAATTGAGTATTATGCCTGCAAAAATTTGACACAACCAGAACATTGGCGATTGTGCACCCGAAGAACCATGTAAAATCTGACCAACCAGTGCATAATTTAGGAAATCACTATTTGAAAAAAGTACACGGGAACGCTGATACAAGAACCCTATATACCTGCCTTTAAGTCTTCCCTCTTGAAACCATCATCGGAGACAGCAGCGGGGACGGTGAGTCAAAACACAGGGGTTTGCAGTATTTATAGCATGCATTTGCTAGGTTGCTGCCCGTTTATGTGCTGACTGCTCGATGGCTGGGTGCGGGTGGCCATCTGCAGAACATTAATCACTCGTTATGGATTTCGGCGTGGAGATTGCTTGGGCGTTGGAATCATCTTCACTTCAGTTGCAATACGCGTTCTTCTGTGCGCTCCGCAGAGTGGCCTATGATTAAATTGATATTTTGCTTCTCTCAAAGCTTTCAAAGCCAAATTTCACTCC